CCAGTAGTGCTTCCTTCTCTGGTACATCGGGCCACTATGGGCAGGAATCGACTTGATAGCATCTAATACCAAGAACAACGTCTGCAAATGACACAACCTTACATCTTGAAAGTGAGGAGGACGTGAAGCATTTGCTGATGAAGATCAAGAATTGCAACCTTCAGTATAGATTACAGCCCAAAGCCAAGCAAACCAAAATTCTCACTACGAAACCAGTAGGGTAACATCAAGATTCAACAGAAAAGATAACAGTTGTCAACAATTACATTTTGCTTGATCTGCAATCAATACTCGTGGAAGCAACAGTCAAGAAACCAAACAACGCATTGCATTGGCCAAATCTGCTGCGCAGGGTCTTGTTAAAGGTTTGAAAATCAAGGATGTTGAATTTCCATCACCTCGTATGTGTGAGAAAGTTGGGACATTGAGTAAGGAAGACTGAAGAATCATTTGAATTATGGCGCTGGAGAAGAAAGTGAAAGTACCAGGAACTGCCAAAAGAACAAACAAATCTGTCTCGGAAAAGGAATGACTGGAATGCTCTTTGGAGGCTAGGGTGGCAGGACTTTGTTTTGTGTACTTTGGACATGTTATCAGGAGAGCCCAGTCCTTGGAAAAAGACACCATGCTCGGTAAAGCAGAGGGCCAGTGAAAGGGAGGCAGACTCTGGACAAGAGGGATGGACGCAGTGGCCGCCACAAGGGGTTCAAACGTAAAAACAATGGTGAAGATGACGCAGCACTGAGTGGTGGTTCGACATAGGGGAGCCATGATTCAGAATCGACTTCACAGCCTCCAATGACAACAGACGCATATAAAAGAAAGACGCACAGCACAGCTCAGATTTATGTCTTTACTTTAACAGTGTATTGACACGTAATTCACATACCCTACAATTCAGTGGTTTAAATGTATTTAAAAGAGGTGCTCATTCATCACCACGATCTATTTTAGAACATTTTCTCCATTCTCGTATTATTCGTTTCCCATTTCTCCCCAGTCTCCTTGGCTATCACCCTGTTGTTGTTGTTGTTAGGTGCCGTCAAGTTGTTCTGACCCATAGAGACCTTGTGCACAACAGAGTGAAAAATCGCTCGGTCTGCACCACCCTCACAATGGTTCTGATGTCTGAGCCCATTGTTGTAGCTACTGTCAGTCCATCTCCTTGTGGGCCTTCCTCTTTTTCCGGCTCCTCCACTTCACCAAGCATGATGTCCTTCTCCAGGGACTGGTCTCTCCTGACATGTCCAAAGTATGTAAGACCATGTCTTGCCATCCTTGCCTCTAAGGAGCACTCTGGCCATACTTCTTCTAATCGAAGACAAAGCCATTTGTCCTTTTAGCAGCCCATGGTACATTCAATACTCTCTTCCTGCAGCATGACCCAAACACCTCGATTCTCCTTCCGTCTTGATGGCCGAGTGGTTACATGTCCGGCTGTGCTCCGTAGTTGGAAACCTCTAGGAGCTCCTTGAGACAAAGACGGGGTTTTCTAATCCTGTAAACAGTTACAGTCTTGGAGGTTCACAGGGCAGCTCTACCCTGTCCGATAGGGTCACTAATCAGTCAGCATCGACATAATGGCAGTGAGCCATTACCCTAAGAAACTATTAATCTAGTTGCTCTCTGTATAGATTCACCTGTCCCGGATTTCATATAAAGAAAATCATACAGCGAAATTAAACATGGAATAACCTCAATGCAAAAGAAACTAATTAAAACTAGAGCAAATTAAAAATGGGCCAAAGCACCCTCCTTAAATGATCACTGAAAGTATGAGTGCTGTATCAAAATGTGATGAAGAGTCGATGGGATCAGGTATCAGGCATCTAAGACCCAGAACAAAATATACCCAATGTGAATGGGGTTGGGGGAGGGGACATGGAGTGGAGACACAATGACCATCTCTAGACAATTGGGCATCCTCTCAAAGAGGAGTCACAGGGAAGAGATGAGCCAGTCAGGGTGCAGTGTAGCACTGATGAAACACACAACTTTCCTCTAGTTCTTTGGTGCTTCCTTCCCCCCACTATCATGACCTCAATTCTACCTTACAAATCGGATTAGACCAGAACATGCA